ATGCGCAGCTATTGAAAATTAAATATAAATTAATTAAAATTAAAAATTTAGGGGCTTCCCTGGTGGCGCAGTGGTTGAGAGTTCGCCTGCCGATGCAGGGGACACGGGTTCGTGCCCCGGTCTGGGAAGATCCCACATGCCGCGGAGCAGCTGGGCCCGTGAGCCATGGCCACTGGGCCTGCGCATCCAGAGCCTGTGCTCCGCAACGGGAGAGGTCACAGCAGTGAGAGGCCCGTGTACCGCAAAAAAAAAAAATTATTTTCTTAGTTTCACTAGCCACATTGCAAGTGTTCAGTAGCCATACATGGCTGATGGCTATGGTATCAGACAGCACAGTTATGGAACTTTTCCATCATTGCAAAAAGATCCATTAGATAGTGCTGGTGTAGATTTAATCCCAGATTGATTGAGATTGGCCTCTTCCTAGTCATTACTTCAGGCAACTTACTGTGAGACTCAGTTTGCACATCTGTAAAATACAGCTGTGGTGGGGATTAAGTAAGATAATTTCTGTAAAGCTTGGAGAAAGCACATACATGTTCAATAAATGTAGGGGAACGAGAGAGAGGTAAGGGAGAGATGGATCTTGAAGGCATCTAAGAACTCTGAGGAACAGTGAGCAAAACCACTAGTGTAGTGTGTGATCCTGGGCAGGTTATTTCCCTTCATGGGACTCAACTTCCATTCTTGTTAGGAGGTACTGGCAGATTTCTAGACATTATTGAATCTTTGAATTTTCTTATTAGGGTGATTTTTGCACTGGTTTCATCTTCACTTAGTTATCTGTTTAGTCAATGTCAGTTGAATACTGCCTGTCTTCCAGGCACTGTACTGGGTGCAGGGTCATAAGAGCAAAGAAGGCACAGTCCCTGTCACTGCAGATTTTTAAATCTTGAAGAAAGAAGCAGACAAGAAACTAATGGGGTAATTGCCTAATGATAACCACTGAGATGATCCCCAGCCTTGTCTTCAGAGAAGCTTCCTGAAGAGGGTGGTGACTGAAACCCTCTCTAGGGAAGAGAGAGCCCGAGTCCAGTGAACAACAGGGAAGAGTTGTTTCCATCAGAGGGAACAGCATGAAACCTTCCTTTGGAGCCTCATTCCATACTCCTTCTTCTCATGTACTAAGATTTTGGAGGGGTAGGGAAAGGTTAAGAAACATACTACATGTGGGGTAAGAAATGGAAAAGAAAATGAGAGAGAAAGAGAGGAATTGGATGATTTCTGTCGTTTTCCTCTAGCTTTCTCAAAGTCCTACCTTCTGGGTCAGTGCTTCTCCAGTCATAGACAATGGATCACCATCAATAAAGATGGTGGGGTGGAAGAGGTACTTATAAAAATGCAGATCTCTGGGTCCCAAGACAGACTGAATCAGAACCTTTGGAGAATACGGCCCCAAAGACATTAAAACAAAACAGAAACCTCTTAAAGGAATTCTACTGGGGCTTCCCTGGTGGTGCAGTGGTTAAGAATCCGCCAGCCAATGCAGGGGACACAGGTACGAGCCCTGGTCCAGGAGGATCCCACATGCCGTGAAGCAACTAAGCCCGTGCGCCAAAACTGCTGAGCCTGCGCTCTAGAGCCCACGAGCCACAACTACTGAGCCTGCAAGCCACATCTACTGAAGCCCGTGTGCCCAGAGCCCGTGCTCCACAAACAAGAGAAGCCACTGCAATGAGAAGCCCGCGCGTCGCAACAAGGAGTAGGTGTGCAGCAAGGAAGACCCAACGCAGCCAAAAATAAATAAATTAAATACATTTTTTTTAAAAAAAGGAATTCTATTAAAAACCATTGCTGTGACTGCTTACTTCCTAGTGAAGCAGGACATTTGAAATGGAATGCCTTTAATTTTTATTTTGGTATTTAATTAATTAATTAATTAATTAATTTATTTTTGGCTGCTTTGGGTCTTCGTTGCTGTGCACGGGTTTTCTCTAGTTTCGGTGAGCGGGGGCTACTCTTTGTTGTGGTGCGTGGGCTTCTCATTGCAGTGGCTTCTCTTGTTGCGGAGCATGGGCTCTAGGCGTCCAGGCTTCAGTAGTTGTGGCACATGGGCTCAGTAGGTGTGGCTCATGGGCTCTAGAGCACAGGCTCAGTAGTTGTGGCGCATGGGCTTACTTGCTCCACAGCATGTGGGATCTTCCCAGACCGGGGGTCGAACCTGTGTCCCCTGCATTGGCAGGAGGATTCTTAACCACTGTGCCACCAGGGAAGTCCCTATTTTGGTATTTAAATGAAGGATGTCTTAATAATATTGAAAGTGCTAAATTCCACGGCTTTCGATTGCAGTGGGAAAACAGGTTTCTTTCTGAAGGGAATTCCTTTCCCACAATCTGGTACCATTTTTCTCTTTCAGTCCATGCTTCTCCACTGTCCTTTGTGTAAATGTTCTTCACTCCACTTTTACCATCTTCTTTATCCATTTCTAAATTTCCCGACCAATAGAATGTCATCGCCTTTGTTTCTATCCTTAACTCTCGTTCTCCACTTATAGTCTTCCAGCTGACCTTGTCCCTGAATGCTCCTTCTCCTGGTTTCTGATGTTCCTTACTCTCACTTCTTTTTCATCTTGACTTTGACCTGTTACTATGGCTCTACCTTCCCTCCCCCAGATCCTCTCCAGGATATAGTGAGAATTTCTCTTGAGCTCATTGTGGTTTTGTCAGAGGAGACACTTTTAGTTTCAGATCCCTTTTCTTCTGTACACCTTATAATTTAAATAAGCTGCTGAAAAATGTCATCAGAATTAATCATTTTAATGCTATTGAAGAGGGAAAAAATAACTGGAGCACAATGGAACTTCTTTCTGTGCCATTGGCAAATAACACAGTTGAAGCATTGGTTAAAATGGCTGTCACAAACAGCAACAGAGGTATTATCAGTGTACATAATGAAAGCCCCAAGTTTCTTTGCCTGTAAATTCAAGAAATCTGTTATCCATTAAAGAAGAAATAACCAGACAAAATCCACAAATGCCCTTTGTTTCATCATCTTAATAGTGATTTTCATTCCTGACAGGGAGTGGCATGAATTCAAATGTTATCCATGAAAATTAGGATTGTTTTGTAAAAAATTCTATTCATTTCTACTGGTTACAATGAGTCTGTATTTGTCAAATGGTTTTTATTCTTAAATGAAAAGGTAATGATAAACAACCACTGGAACTGCTAAATTCATGATCTCTGTGCTAGGTTTCCTGACAGGCCTCTTTGGCAAATCTGGGCCCAGGGAGTAATCAGTGTGGATATGAAAATGAGCACATTATTTCACTGTTAACAGGCACTGCTAAAATGAAAGAGAAGGTGTGTGGGTCTATTGATGTTTTTATTTTCTTTCCTGGAACAATTAACTCAATAAGAAATAGTGTAGGCAGGTTGTTCTAAATCCAAAGTTTGATGAAGGAGTTTTGGAACTTAATATTACCAGTGTATGCAAAGTTTATGAGAAGTGCTATATTGTTAATTCCTAGTTCTAATAAGATGCTGTCATACTTGGCCTTCATTTTACTAATGGGGAAACAGGCTCACTGATGTAAATGGTAAAGAAACAAACATGAAAAAGGATTTCTTAGTCAAGCAAAGAAAGCCTAGTGGCTATCAGCCACTGGGATCTCCAGTGCTTGACAATGCACTTGTAATGGGGAAGAACCCTTTGCATTCTATTACAAGTTAATCACTAAACGGATGTTGCCTATAAGCTTAAATTATACATAATGGCCCATCTCTGGGAACCCTGCCTAGCAGGTAATGAGCATTAAGCTAAAATACCTTTGTTTAGCTCACAGGGAACATCTTGATCAGGCCCACCCGTGAATGACTGCAGGGAGGAAGAAATTAACACATCCCCTCCCGGAGGCTGACAGGAACCAGGAAATGTTTGACTTTACTCCCTCCCCTTTTAGTATAAAAAAAAGCCTGAATTCTAACTCAGGCAAGATGGGTTCTTTGGGGCACGAGTCCACCATCTTCTCTGTTTGCTGGTTTTCTGAATAAAGTCACTATTCCTTGCTCCAGCAACTTGTCTCTCGATTTATTGGCCTGTTGTGCAGCAAGTAGTACGAGCTTGGACTCAGTAACACACTGGCAAAATACATACTATTATAATCCCCCTTTCACAGATAAAGGATTGAGGCTGCGGAATAACTGGCCCAAGCTCAGAGTTATTAAATCACAGAGTCAAGACCTGAACTGGTATCTACCTCTGTGCTTCAATCTGATCCCAGACAGTACAGAATGCTTTGGTAGTGGTATTGCCTATGGCCACAGTTACTACTCAAGCAGTTCACAATTGCAATACGGATAAAGAAAAAGCATAGAATCACTGTTTATTCACCCTTAGCCAACGCTTCTACATGTCGGGGCTGACCTAGACCCCTGGTAGAAGACAGGTCTTATACCCATGTGTCAAGACTCTCTGAGAGCAGCATTTAGTCATCACCTCTGTCTACGAATCACAGGATTTTCATTCTACATTTAGGAACCCAGTGGAAGAAGCAGAGTAACTTGTCTCTTGATTCACTGGGAAACCTCTTGAGAGTTTACCGCTATGGTTTGGTTTGTCTGCTTTTTTTTATTTTTTATTTTTTTAGTTCTCAAACTAAATAACTCCTTGAGAAGATTATTTAAAATGCAGATGTCAGACTCCATCCTAAGTGATTCCGATTCAGTAGGTCTAGAGTGGAGCCCAGGAATCAGTATTTGCGAAGTTCTAAAAATGTAAAGGTTCCCTGACCCCTATCCTCCACCCTCTTCCTGGAGACAACAACTTTACACTCTTTTAATACTTTCATCTGGCACATACACGTCTCTACTGTTCGCCAGTGCTATCAAGATAAGTTACAAAGTGTCAGGGGCCTTATGACCCATACCTCAGATTGGCTCTGGTGTTTCACATTAGCTATCAAATATTTATTAAGAATATATCAGAGGAAGAAACACAACATTTACTGAGACCTTGCTATGTGCAAGGTCTTTACATACAACATCTCACTGAATACTTACTATCACTGTATGACCTAGGTAGTTCCTCAGGTCACAGATTCACAGAAGGCAGAGGTGAGATTTGAATCCAATCCAGTTTCACTGAAAACCCAGTGCTTATCTCAGCAAAGCACAGTGCAGAACTCTTTGTTGGATCCTAGACCTCAAAGAGCTTCCTATTTGGGAAAAAAGGGTAGAAAATAGCGAGAAGTCTTAGGAGGAACTCAATAAGTGTGAGCCATCCTACGTCTGTTTATTTCACACTTTCTCTAATCCTGGTCCAGTGCTAAGCACTGGAGATACCATACGAAGGTCCTTCTGCTCCATCTCCCCCAACCCCTTGGCTGCAGAGATGGCAGAATTAGAGAATGTGGATGAAGACACTGAGGAATTGCTGATGCAGGACTTGGGCCCCAAAGCTGAGGAATAGGCTGTCTTCCAATTGAAACAGGAAAACTCATATGATGCTACCCAGCCCAGAGATTCACTAGTAGATAATGAACCAATCAAAGATTGCCACATGTACATGAATGGTAATCAGAAAGACTCTGCCCATTCCACTTCCAAAAATCCTGCCCTAATAGAAAAAAATCCCATCCTAACAGAACACTCATCAAAGACTGTCTAAGGAGGCTCTCCTTTCTCTTTACGAAATGCACTCTTCTTTTCAAACCCTTTCAGGTCTCTGCTGGAAGGAAAGTGATAGTAGCCAACTCCCTTGCCATAGTACTGTCTGAATAAACCACCTTTGATTAATTCTACAGGAGGTCTGCTTCCTTCTGACAACATGTTCAAAGCTCTCACCAAGCTTAAACATTCAGTCTGTAAACATTAGTGAATCTTTGCTCCATCCTGGCTAGATGGCAGACCCAGTATAAGTAATGACAGATGAGGTGGGAACTCAGATCCCCTCATGTCAAGAGAAGGGTGTGGTCAGATTTCAGCTTTGGGGTCTGGTCCCAGGCTGTGACCCTGGGCAAGTTACACAGTGTTTCTGTAGTACAGTTCCCCCTCTGGTAAAATGGGAATAACATCATCACCCCTTACAGGGTTCCTGTGAGGATTAAATGACCCATATTCAGAGGCAGCTGAGTACATGTAAAAGGAATGAGCATAGGCTTGGCACTGAATAAAAAGGGACGCATGAGTCCATATTGATACAAGTGAATATAAGGATAAATAAACGTGGGAGATGGTAAAGCTCTTCTCAGAGTAGAATGTAAACTAAAAAATGTAGAAAGGAATGGAATTAGACAATCATGATTTTGCAACCATTACAGTAATAACTGATTCAAGAAATAATCAACAATGGATGCTAAATCTAGCCAGTAAACTTGTGATTAAGAATGGGCTATAAAGCTATGTATCTATATCTATGAAAAATGGAGAATGAGGCAAAATATAAATAAGTGGTAAATCTGGGTAAAGGATATTTCGGAGTTGGGGGTAATGTTCTTGCAACTTTTCTGTAGATTTGTTTTGTCAAAATAAAAATTAAAAAAATATTAAAAGCAGAAAAAGTAAAAAGGGAAGTAAAGCAGAAACAGTTTCCTAGTTCTGTTACATTGTACATTTTCTCATGATCATAGGCTCAAGAACAGAGTAAGGTTAAAAAAAATTCTAAAATGGTACTTAATAGGGTGGGAAGAAGAGAGCATGGGTTTGAACCATTTTTAATCCTTATCAGATCTCTGACCTTCAACAAGTTAGGTAACCTCTCTGTGCCTCAGTTTTCTCTTCTGCAAAACGGGGATTTATACATTGGTACCTACTGGAAAGGTTGCTATAAAGACTAAATTAGTTCATAATTTGTAACGTGGCTGGCACATATTAAGCTTATTTGCTATAGTAATTTTATTACATATACAGTGCTTAGAGTCACGTAAACTCCGAATAAACGCTTGCTCTTGTTCTGCTGATTACTGGCTTAAAGTGCTTCAATTGCTTTGCCTTAACCTTCGGTAAAAGATAAAAAATTCTTACTCAGGTGTAGAGGGGATCCACCGACCTCATCAGACCCACTTGCTTCTCCCGTAGTCCCTCAAGGCTCAGCTCAAATATCGTTTCCCTAGGCGAGCCTCTGGGGCCCAAGGACCAGACCAGAGGCCTCCCTTACTTGGCGTCAGCTCCGTGGGCCGGTCCTCAGAGCACTCACGGCACCGGCCAAAGTCCACTGGCCTGTCGCCCCAGCGTAGTTTAAGCCCCACGACCGTAGGGCTCGGGATGTGTTTTTGCTCGCATGGTGAGCCGGGGTAGCACGGTGAGGAGGCCACGGGGCCTCTGAAGGCTGAAAGTGAACTTGGGGCCGAGGTGGGAGTCGCGGTGGGGGACGCAGGGCTATAGAAAGTGGCCCCTCAGGGGCGCTGCGACGTCCCGGGGGTAGCAGGCGGGCCCGGGCAGAGGGGGCGGTGCGGGAGGGGCGGCCGGGCCCCGCCCCCGCCCCGCCCCTCCCTTCCCTTTCCCGCCCTCGCCGCGCCCTGCCTGGTTTGCCGCGGCCCGCCTGGCTCTTCGCGCAAGTTTTCTGGTTAAGATGGCGGCCCCTGTGGTGGCGCAGGCCTGGAAACTACTGAGAGACCTGGCGCTCCGGTCCCCGCTCCTGGCGGCCAGGTCCCAGGTGAGCGGGCCTCTTGGTGGGAGCCTGGAGCAGCCAGTGATACCTTCCTGTCCTTGTCTGTCCATCTCCTCCTGGCCCCGGTGCGCGGCCGCTAGGGCGCCGCACCTGTGGAGGGGACGCGCGGTGCTGCGCCCGGGGGCGCACGAGAGACCCCAGCATCCCCCCACCCCCACCCCGCTTCAGGTGTCGGGGGTCCCAGGCGGAGCGGGGAATGGCAGTCCGGGCCACCCCGGAGTGAGAGCCACCCAGCTCTCAGTTGTCGCTGACGTGGGTTACCCTAGCGCTGCGGGGGGCGCCTGGCCCTGTACCAGGCGCTGCAGGCATGTTAAGGAAAAGTCCCTGGGACTGGGTTTTGGAGTCCTGAGGTGTTATTGTGTCGACAAAAAAAAAAATGCACAGCCTGAAAGTTGGGAAATATATTTTATTGGAGGCATTATTGAGGGTTGTATCCTGGGGAGGTTTCTGGATAGCTCTGAGGAACTGTTCCAAAGAGGTAAGGGAGGAGCCAGGATATATGGGAGTTTTGGCTGAAAAAAAAAAAACAAAAAAAAACTTGTCGTGGAACATCAAAAGATTAGGGCTAGTCACAAAAATCAGATATGTCAAGGTAGTGATTTTAATGCTTTGCTCAATTTGGGAAGGTGTAAGAGCCTGGGCTTTATTGAAGTTATTCCTTTGATTTGCATCGTAACTCTCTAGGGCCTGTATCCTGTTTTTCTGCATCCTGAATTCCCCTCAGGGTGCACTGTCTCCGGTGGCTGCAGTGACTGCTGACTTGATGGCAAGCAACATTCTTGTGTACTAAAATGGCAGGCAACATTTGTTTGTCCTCAGTTACCTGCTTTGCCAGTGCTGCTTCTGAACCGTCTCTCTCTTGAGCCTGTTTGTTAGGCCACATGATGAAGGTGCCTAGAAATCCAACCCAGCCTTGCTGGTTTAGTAACTCACCTCCTGGAGTGAGCTCTCTGCAGGCTGTCTGCTTTTGCAGACTTGGCAGGGTGGGTAGTGGTGCTTGAGTTGGTGAAATGAGGGGGTCAAGGAGAAAGATGGGAAATGCTCTCCCTCAATTCAGTGAGCAATCAGTCCCAGCACTGAAACACATCAGAGCATTGGCCCTGTGCTCTTTCTCCTTGTTTCAAGAGAATAAAAACCTAGGAGGGCCAGTGGTGGATGCTGAATAGCTATTAGAACTTGGCTTCCTGTAGATTTGATCAATACGTTCTGCAGGTGGCAAGAGTCACAGTAGTCAAAAGGTCTTTGGGGAGTTATGAGTTGGTGATGACTCATGGACAAGTGATCAACCAGTGGACTTCTTATTCTCCATGAGTAATATCGCCCCTCTTTTAAAGAAAGGATGGTGTGGGGCTCATCCACAGCAGAGCATCGTCCTTGTCCGTTTTCCCATCTTTAATTGATGAGAGACAAATGATCACTCCTGCAGTTTTAACTAGGATATGCATAGTATATATTTTTAAAAAATTGAAAGATAGCTACTAATGATTTTTTGAGTTACTCTAAGCTTTGGTTAATTATGACATCTGAAAGGTTTTTTTTTTTTTTCTTCTTTCATTTCCTGACTTCTCATTTGTCTGTTTTTGTTAATGTAAATTTAAAAGGTGCTAATAACTTATTACTGTAATATCTTTAATAGGCACTTGACAGTATGGTGGGATAGCAAAAGGAATGGTGGTTTTGTCTAATTAAAATAACTAATAACTGTTGTAATAGAGTAAGGAGAATACCTCCAGGTGATCAAGTTCTATTCATTATTTAAGTGTTAGAAGAAAACAAGAACTGTGGTGCTAACTATGAGAGTAGACTTGAATTGATGGGAAACATGGTGCCTAAGGCAGTGAAAACTCAAGCAAAGGAAATAATTGTGCCGAGAAATCCAACTGTTTAGCTGAAGTATGATAGGGCTTCTTGCCTTACCAACAAATGGGAGTCTGAACACAGCACTGTAGAGAATCTGAGTGGGTGATACCCTTGGTTTGGCAAGAAGACTGGGTAAAAGGATCTCCTACCTCACTGCATCTAGTAACTTTGATTTACATTCTTGTGGATGGCGTATTGTCCTGTGAACATAAGCTTAGGAAATGAGTTTGTTTTATTTTTAAGTCAGGAATAGTACACAGTGTTCAAGAACTGGAAATGGGTGTTAGCAAGCATCAGATCCAACTAGCTTATTTCACAGGTAGAAAAATTGAGCACTAAAGTTAAAGGACTTGTTCAAGGTTATAAAGAGAGTTTGTGGCAGAACTGATTACAGATTAAAGGTTTACTTTTCAGTTTCCATTATACCAGGCTGTGGTGTAAATTTCCTCATGGAAATAAGTTATATCAGCATGTAAGTTACTCTGCATACCATAAAGTTACTATGTAACATCCAAGTCACCAACACTACTGACACATTTTAATTTTTTCTTTATAAACATCTTAGAATTGGCAATAAAAGTAGGTGAGTATTGTTTGTGATTTGTAAGGAACCCTTTTCATCTTCTTGAATGCTTCTTTGTATCTGCTCCACCTACCTCTGCATGTATGTTGTGCCTACCTACTCCCTTGCCCATGGCAGACATTACAGTTGAATATGACCCTCTTTTTCTTGGAAACTTAAGAATGCTCACCAAGCGTCTCAGAAATCTCTTGCTACTCTTCTTGGCTCAGACCTTCTTTGTACCAGGCCTTATGCAAAATTCTTGTGTGTACAGAGATAAATGACCCAGTTTCTGCTGTGAGAAGTAACTTTAACCACTCTCACAGAGGTGCCAAAGAATGACACTTCATGTACCCCCTCCTCGATGTTAAATTTAACATTTGACACATACTCCTGATGCTAAATGTCATTGACATTTTTTATTTCTTCTGCTGTTGGCTTCTCTGTTTTGACTTTCAATTGATGTTATATCCTTAAAGGGCCACCCTTTTGCCATTTCTTATTTTACATATATTTCTCTATTCAGCTTATACCTAGAACAAGACTCTATAGGTACTGATATTTGGGGATAGTAAACAAGGCAGGCAGAGATCTTGGCCACATGATACTATATTTTAATGGGGGTGGGGAAGGGCTAGACTGTACATACATAAACAATAATGAAAATGATTTCAGCCAGTGACAAATGCTATGAAGAAAATAAAACAAGGTCATGGGCTGGAGAATGAATAGCTTAGCCAAGATGGTGGGTCATAGATTAGGTGATCCAGGAAAACCAATTCGACATTGCATTGTAACACGTGTAATAAAAATATACATATTATAAGTGAACAGCTTGATGAGTTTGCACAAACTGAACATGCCCAGGAGATCAGATCCATATCAAGAAATTAATCTTTTAGCAGCAACCCAGAGGGCCCCCTTGTGTTCCTTCCCGTCACTGCTCCCACCCAGAAAAGAGTAGCCAGTCCCCTGAATTATGCCACCATACACTGGTTTAGTTCCTTTTTGTACTTTATGTAAATGGAATTATACAATGGATTATATGAGTGCATATTCACATAATCAACATTATGTTTATGAGATCCTGGAGGTGACTTTTTGACATTTGAACTGAGACCTGATTAATGAAAAGTAGCCAGCCAGGTGACACTCGGGAAGAGAGGACAGCAAGTGCAAAGGCCCTGAGGTGGGACCTGAACTCAACATATCCAGACAGTTAAAGAGGTGGAAAGTGACAGTACTAGTCATGGTCTGAGAGGTAGGCAGGGGCTGGATCAAGTGGGGACTTGTAGGGTCTGATAAAGACTTTTTAAAAGCTTAGAGTGCTTTGCCCAAAGTTACTCAGCTAGTAAAAAATAGCTGAATCCCAGTCCGGCTGCCAAAGACCAGGCATGTAATTACTGTACAGTGCACTCCCTATTATAAATAGCACAATACAGCAAGGCACAGCCATGTTGGGCACAGAGATGAGCCTGTTACATTAGTTACGTCTTAGGGGAAGTCTTGGCTGAGGGCACTGAATTTAAATGGTTAGTGATAATCTGATCATGGTATTTTGCCTTTTAGTGCATTTCCCCTCTCATAATGGCTGGGTGAAGTTAACAAAGCTGTTCTGTTGTAGGTGAAGCAAAGACATTGTGGGAAACACTGCCCCTCAGGCCCCTAGTTGTAGAATCCTTGTTGTGTGGTTCTCTACAAAGCCCAGAGCTTCTGTCCAGGAACTCAGGGAGGAATGTGTATTGTTGAAGGAAACCAAAACCCTGTCCCTGCTGTTGTGTATCTCAGAATAGATGACTCCAGCTTAATTTTCTGTTCTTTCCAGAAGTGAGAGGAGAAAGATGGATGCCTGGCTTTTAGAAGTGAAGGACTGAAGCTTACGTGCAAGTTTCTGTCAGCTAACTATGGCTGTGGAGGCTGCATTGGAAGTTGTGACTCACCTTTATCTGCCTTCTTGCCTAGAAGGATAAATATCTGACTCTTTTCTTTTATAAATGAAGTGCACTTGCAATTTCTGCTGTCAGAAAAGGAAATTCATCTCAAATAATTTAGTTGCTAAACTACTGACTTCTGTGTGGGGAAGACCTGTAAATGATAGCTCTTGTCCCAAATTGGTTTTGTTTACTGTAAATGAAACACTTCTTTCATGGATGAGTACACAGACCCATAGTAGTGAGACTTTTGCTGCCCTTGTATCCTGGCCCAATTCTGTAAGCACAATGCCCAGAAACTCACTGACATATCTCGTATTTTGGGGAGGAAAAGAAATTACATATGCAACTTCAGATCATTTGTCTTTCAACTCTTTTTACT